CAGGTTGCACAACAGCTTCAACATAAGAGAAGTTTTTGGATACAACGTTCCTATTTCAGGAAACAGGGCCCTGCATCTTGCCTCTCTTAGCTCAGGAGCCTGATGTTTAAATACTGTCTGCTTTTAACTTACAGCCCTATCAAAATATCATTCATTTAACTCCACTTAAACCTCCCTTCGCGCTCACACATATCCCTATGTAACTTGTCTTTTCCTGTGGTTTGGTGGGACACCTCAGATTTTCTCTGTTGATAATGCCTTTGTTGCATCATGTTAACTAAACTTGGCTTTATTGTATCATACTATGTTTTTTCCTGCGGGTCTTTATCAAGACAGCTTTTAGAAATATACATGCAATGTATAACTGATAGATTTCATGTCTTTTTCTTTAAAAAACTACATACTAGTTTTAAAATATATCCTTGTTTGCTTTATGGTAATATCTAATTCATTACTTCTAAGTGCTGATACGAACTTCATCTCACAACACCAACCATACCCTCCACACACCATATTTTTTTCCCCCATATCTAGAGGTAGATTAGAGTTGCCTCAATTCCTTTGTACTATAACAATTGTATATATCCTCATGGATTTCCTATTATGGTAATCTTAAGAATTTTCTGGCATATATACACTGAAATGGTCTGCTGAGTTCTTAAGGTGTGCTGCCAAATTTTGCTAAGATTGCTAGAATAGTGAGTCAGTGTCTACTTGCCAGCACCTTGGTACTATTATCTGCTTTAAGTATTTTAGTTAGAGTAGGTATAAGGGGTATTCCATTTTTATTCTGATTTGTATTTCTTTTGAGCCAAGTGAAGTCAAGCACCTTTTCTCTGTCAATTACTTATTGTTTTTCTTCCATGTATTACTTACTTATTCTCTCCCTTTAAAAAACTGGGCTTCTTGTCATTATGCAAAGAAGCACAAGAAGCTAGGTCTTTGCTGTTATAATTTTAATTACAACAGTAATAATTTATAATTAAGAGGAAATTAGAGGACATGCTGTACTCTGTGGCACTTCCTGAAAGTACAAAAGATAATCCCTTGAGATAGAACCATCATAGGTTGATGTTTTTAGAGGCAGCTGGGAGAGAGAAAATGTGAGCAGAGTTGGAAGTATAGGACAGAGGTGAGTGGTGGAGGAGAGACAAACTTCCAGAGTATGGCAGGCAGCAGGAACAAAGGCTAGAGGAAGAAGGGTAGGTTTGTTCCAGAAAAAGCAAGGAGACCCACTTAAGTGGAGGATATGGTTAGGGTAGTGGAAATTAAATTTGTATACATAGGATTTAACTGGTAGGAGGACTAATAGGTTCCTGTGATGATAGGTTTTATGTGCCAATTTGACAGGGCCACAGGATGCCCAGATAGCTGGTAAAACATTATTTCTGGATATGTTTGTGGATGAGATCAGCATTTGAATTGGTGGACAGAGTAAAGCAGGTTGCCCTCCCCAATGTAGGTGGCATAATCCAGTTTGTTGAGCGCCCTGAAGTAGAACAAAAAGATGGAGGAAGGGCGACAAATTTGCTCCTCTTAGGCCTGGGTTGCCTCATGCTGGGACATTAGTTCTTCTCCTGCCTCAAGCTGCCAAACCTTCGCCGTTAGCTCATCCTAATTCTCAGTCCCTTTGGATTCAGACTAGAGCTACACCACCCCAGCTCCTCTTGGTCTCCAGCTCCAACAGACTGCAGAATCGATGAACTCTTCAGCTTTCGCAATTGTGTGGAGCCAATTTCTAATAATAAATCATATATATGTAAATATATAAATAAAGAACAATGATAAAGTACTCTGCTATATGACTATATACTTTTTAAAAAAAAAAAATTAAAAATATACATAAAATCACTCTAATAATATTTATAATATATAATATGATAATATATATTATAAATACTATTTATATAAAGAATTGGCCTCATGAAAATTATGAAGGACCAAGGAAGTTTCCATGATCTGCCTTCTACAAACTGGACGCCTCCCTGGAAGCCAGTTGTATAATTTTAGTCCTGAGTCTGAGGCCTCAGAACCAGAAGAACCAGTGTTCATAAGTTCCCAGTCTGACCGCGACAAATCCAATGGCCTGAGATAGATATACTACTTCCGCCTATTTTTTTATTTTTTTTTTCCCCTCTGAGAACTCTAATACAGCCCACCTGAGGCAGGGAAAGTAACATGGTCAACAAGTAGGGTTTCTAGAAGATTTATTTTTCCAATAGCAAAGGGACTGAGAGCGGGCCCAGACCCAAGTGACCAAGAAGACTATAGGTAAAAAGTGACCCCATGTTTACTTTGCATTGAACAGAAATACACGTACTGGGTGTTAGCAATGGGACTGAAAAAGAAGGGATAATTAGAAAGATTTAGAAAGAAAACGAATTTGGTGGCACACCCTATATCATAATACAAAGAGTTCTTCGGAATTTTCTTAAGATCTTTAGTCTGAGTGGACTTGGAAATAAATTGTGATATATGTGCAAGCAGGGATAGCTTCTGCGGCGGAATAACCTGCCAGGGGGAAGAGTAACATACATTGCAATGGTGTTATATTTTAATATCATTTGAGATAAATTACAGGGTTAAGGCGGAAAAGCATCATGTGCTCACAAGTGAGGACTTTTGTCCTTTTTCCATTTTCCTATCTATCAGACTCTTCAGCCCCATTCTACCTTTTTCTTTCTGGGTTTTGAAAACACCCTTTTTGTAACACAGGATACTCTTTCTGCATACAAACTCCCATTTATCAAATAAATGCTATTTAACAATTTGTCTGTATTCCCTTAAATCCTGAAAAAAATCAACCATTCTTTAGTAAAACTTGTTATATTTTGTGATGTTCAAACACTACATTCAAAAATGGTGACTCTATCAAATGACAGTTTATTATAGTGATTGATTTGTACATGGTTTGTTAAATGCATCTATGTTGTAGGCTTTTTGGCTAATATGATTTGTTGAAACCCTCTCAGCAAAGTGCTGTTACAATGACCATCTTTGGGGACTTGGAAATAGCCTCATTACACAGAACTTGATGTTATACACTAATGGCATTTATTAGAATGGAATTCTATATGTATTATTACTTCCGACATCAGCCTGGCCTTTGTAGCCTCCTCACAGCATGCAACTTTGGTAATTATGCTAATGCTAGCTAATTCATGAGGACGACTTCCTAAAGTGCACTCAATTAACTTGGAGATTTTGTAAATAGCTATACATGTAGGTTCCGGAAATTGTGGGGATATGTCAATCTGACATGTGTAGAGTCTGCCTTCCTAACTGCATCACTTTGTTTTACTAAAGCTTAATTTTAAACAACAAGAAGTTACAATCTGATTTCTTTTCCAGCAAGTGCTTGAGGAAGATTCTGATAAGTGTCACTTTAGCCTGTATCCTCCAGTCCAAGTCCCTTGAGCCAGATGAGTTAGGTAGCTTGGTGTCTTTTAAGTTGGTTAGAAGAGAAAATATTGAAGTTTATTTCTTTAGCAAAGGGTACAATTTTTCCAATATGTTCCTGCAATGTGATTTTTGCCAGTTTGCTAATTCTGCCGACCAACGTTGCTCTTCAGGGGACTGTTCCAAAAATTAGACTTCTCATTCAGAAGGCTTCATGATCTCTGCTTCCCTTCAGTCCCAGCTGCTGGGGATTTTTTGATATTACAGTGACTCCTCAACCTCATTTGAATGAAAATAATCTGATTTTTGACCTATTACATTAAAGGCTTATATCCCTTACATGTAAGAGGTGAAATTTATAAACCTAGAACAATTAGCCAGGCTTAAGAGTGCCATACAAGAAATTAAACACAATAAAAATTAAGAGAAAAGGTTAGTGAATCACATCACAGCCAAGAGCAAGCTAATAAAACTGGGAGGAAGAAACATTATCGGGAAAGAACCAAAGGAAAAGGAAACTTACTACATACAATTACAAGATATAGCAATTGCATAAAGTTAATGAAAACAGAGAATAGGGATAGCTTTTAATAATCTTCTTATTACCACTGCATGAAATCACACTCTCAGATAAGTCCTAGAAACTAAGCTAGGGATTTGCCTTTCATTTCTCAAGGGTCCCAGCAGGTCATTTCCCCTCATTAATTTAAGTTACAATCCTAGGTACAATCTCTTTGGGAACTAGCTATATCACATCTAAAGATAATCAAACATTTATTGCTTAGCCTTTTCTTTGACTTCAATAGTAAGAACCTCTTCTCCACCCTCAGCAGAAGGAGCCATGCTGATGATGAGTGATTGACGGGAAGTTCCTCTGGGTAAAACTGTCCTAACTGACTGGGGCTCTTCCTCCACTGCAATAGGACTTGCTGTACATTCAGGTCTGTCCAGTGGCTTCTCTTCTGGCTCTCTTCCTTTATCTTTAGCTTCATTTTCTTTTTGTTTATCTTCATTTTCTTTTCCTTTATCTTCGTTTTCTTTTTGTTTATCTTCATTTTCTTTTCCTTCTTCCTCTCCTCCTTCAGAATTTTCTTTTTTCTGGAAAGAGCAATTACAAGTAACTGGTGTTGAAATCATAATTAAAAACATTGGATTGGATTTTGATTAGCATGCAATGGCTAAGATCACCACCAAGACAGACTGTCTGAATTAAGTGAATCCAGGAATCATGTCTGCTTTGCTTCTAACTATCATTTGACTAAGTTTCTGGTGTGTTAGAGAATGGACCTGTTGCCTCTGACTCATGACGTTAGTCTGAATTGCATTTTTTGGGTCTCTGCTAAGGCATTCTCTTCCTATTGGTCCTTATACTCTCCAAATTATTAGACTCAGTGCTCAGGACTCTGTTTTTGCTTTTTAAATATTTACTTATTCTGTAGAGATAAAAGTTTAAATATTTATTTTTAATAAAAAAGTATTAACCACTACCATATAAAATACTGTAGAAAGTAGGGTTTCCTCTTGCCTAAGCTCATGGGAGAAACTCAGGGAGAAACTTATCCCTTTCCTAGTACAATCTTTTCCATTTGTCCCACAGGTGCTTGACCTGTCATGTTTGAACCTATTGTGTTTAGCACTAGCTATAGAAATTTCATAGCAAAGGTACACTATGCTCTTTATTGGTAATGGTTGGTTGGGATCAATATGAGAAAGGCTTGCCCGAGATATGAATGTGCACAGATAAAGTTGAGATTCTTAACACATTTACTTGTATATTTCTTTACTCGCATACATTTTTTATGTAAATTACTATATCTATGCCGATGCAAATGAAGCATTTGATTTATACTGGATCCCTAATTTTCACCACAGTGTTTTATGTGTGGAAAAGGAAAAGGCAAGTTTTCATCTTTTGTATGTGACTGAGTTTATAATATGTGCTTTACTCATTTTCTAAAAGGTCCACAGCTACCCATTTTCTACAGTTTTAGAGATAATATAATGACTAGGTTCAGAAAACCTGAATCCCTGGTCTGTTTCTCAGTATCTGCCCTCATAGACTAATTATCAGAATGAAAGAAATACAGAAACCAAAAAAAAAAAAAAAAAGAACATTGAATATTTGTGAAAATGTTGATAAAATAGGTTATTTATTTATATATCCATATGTATGTCTGTATATATACAGTTGATTCTTATCATTCATGTAGTTTTGTTCTATAAAGTTTCAACAAACAGCAAGTGAGAAAGTACTGAACCATTGCTCCTGGGGGAGATACAGCATTAGGTTCCTGTGAGATATTATGGTTCAAACCATAATATTTTTGTCAACTGGTCAATATATAACTTTGTTTCATGTGTGTTTTTGTTTAGAGATACCCTGTTTAATTTGATCAATTGATTAATTTGAGGTATTATTGATTCATTATAGTGAACTCATGGAAGCAGCACTGTAATGCCTGAATGAAGTTTATCTAACAGACATATTTTCTCTGGAAGGCACATCACAGCACTTTGGCACTTAGAAGCACTAGACAGTATTTCAGGACTATGCTTGGGGGCTATTTTAAACAGCAAATCACACACATGCAAAAAGCACAAAAATGTGGAACCCATGGCCCCAAAAGGGTCACTCTTTGTTGTTGTTTGTTTGTTTGTTTGTTTGTTTGTGTGTTGAGACAGATTCCTGCTCTGTTGCCAAGACTGGAGTGCAGTGGTGTGATCTCGGCTCACTACAACCTCTGCCTCCCAGGTTCAAGCGATTCTCTTGCCTCAGCCTCCCAAGTAGCTGGGACTACAGGTGCTTGCCACCATGCCCAGCTAATTTTTTGTGTTTTCAGTAGAGACAGGGTTTCACCATGTTAGCCAGAATGGTCTCGATCTCCTGATCTCGTGATTCGCCTGCCTTGGCCTCCCAAAGTGCTGGGATTACAGGCGTGAGCCACCACGCCCAGCCAAGGGTCACTCATTTATAGTATGAGAGCTGAAACAAGAAAGTAGAGTGCCTCTTTGTTCAACCTCAGCTGAAAATGTATGCATCAAGCAACTTAATTTTTTTGCCACCCTGCACATGTTCTTGTCCACAAATAACCACAAAAGCACCATAAGTATTGATTTTAAGTTACTAATAAATTATAGTAGGTAGATTCACCAACATAGAATCTGCAAATAATCTATGAATAATGAGGCTATACTCTTTACAAATACATGTATATTAAGGCCGTCTATAAACATCCTGTGAGGGTTAAATGTGATGATATGTGGGAATTCAGCAGTTTAAATAATAATGTGCTATATATAAAGCAGGAATTATTAGTATTATGTTAGTCCAAATCATCCCATTGTCTGAAATGGAATTAGAGTAGGCGTTTGTGTGGATATACTTAGACTGGAGCCTTCTCCATGACAGCCCTCCATTCACTCCACCTTATTACCTGAGCTGCTTGTTCTCGTTTCAATTTGAGTAGTCTTGCAAGACTCGCTTTTCCTTTGCCTCCTAGGAGAGTTTTAAACAGTTTGGGTGTCTCTTCTTTTGGTGGGAAGAGGAAGGCAAGATCTTTTCTTGGAGGGGTTGCTTCTGCGGTCTTAGCCTTCTGCTTTAAAAGCACTCTGGGGGTAGCAGAGAAAAGCTGTTTTAGGTAACTCTGTGAGAATTCTGGCAAAATCTACCAGAAAAAGTGCAATTTATCCTAACCTGTGTAGTTTCAATGGGTACGTCCATTAATAGTTGTTTATTAAGCCTATCTCACTGTGATCAAGTTTATCACAATCATAATACGGTTCTTCCTATTTCAGAGTTTACAAAGTAAAACCAACTCCATTCATCTCTAACGGGGTTTTAAAGGATATACCTGGCTTTCTTCATGAGGATCCTTTCAGAATCTGGATAATGCACTAGAATTTCTTGAAGGGTCTTTTTGTCTAGAGTTAAAAGATTGGCAAACCCATGGGCCACCACATTGGCAGTTCGACGGTTTCCTCCTCCTGCTGCTAGAAGGCTGTAAGAGAGAAAAGTGAGTCTTTGCCACCAGTTTCACTTTTCCTCCACTGAAATCTCTTTAAAAAAATAGCAACTATTGTAAGTATTTATACTGCTTCAGAAATCATTCCCTAGAGGTGAGGGTCCAGGTGACTGTGTGGAGAGTGTCAGGATGTGGGAATATAAATGGCTCAGATTTCGATATATTTTTTCTCTAACTCTCACCTCTAAGTCCCACAAATCACAGACTTGTGGCTATCAGTGTCCTGTCAGATCCTTCATCTCAGATTCCGGAAATGCAGAATCCTTTTTGACTGGGTATCCCTCATTTGCTCCTTCAGATACACTTTTCACCTCTCCCCAGGCTCCTTTGTTTCCCAGGAAGCTGACCTCTGTAGGCTTGCCCTCTGACTTCACTTGAGCTCAGTCATTGGAAAAGACTAACAGGAAATCAGAAAGCAGGAAGAGAGTGGGTTCAGAGCGTTTATCTCCCCTGTTATTTTCCTACCGAACCTTAGGTTAGGAGTGGCTGCAGTTCTCTATCAAAATCTACAGCTCCTGACACATGGATGTTTTCTAGAAGTGCAATTCCCATCACTCTTGATGAGCTCTGGTAACTATACTCTCTTCTTTTCCTGTTCAGGCCTCACTATAGTAACAGTTCCTTTACTGCTGCTAAATTTGAGATGCACTGCCACCTTTTGTTGGTGTAGTAGTCCATTTTCACTCTGCTATAAAGATACTACCTAAGACTGGGTAATTTATAAACAAAGGATGTTTAATTAAGTCAATTCTGCATCACTGGGGAGGCCTCAGGAAACTTATGGTAATGGTGGAAGGCAAAGGGGAAGTATGGCACATCTTACATGGCAGTAGGAGAGAGAGCGAGAGCAAGGAAGTGCCACACTTTAAAACCCTCAGCTCTCCTGGGAACTCATTCATTATCACAAGAATAGCATGGGGGAAAGTGCCTTCATGATCCAGTCACCTCCCATCAGGTCCTTCCCTCAACACGTGGGGGTTACAATTTGAGATGAGATTTGGGTGGGGACACAGAGCCAAACCATGTCAGTTGGGTGCACTTAGACTTTTCCTCACTTCTGTCAGTAATCCCTTTATTAAAGTTTACTCAATTGCCTCACTTGAGTGTGTCTGTTTCCCACCTGGGCTCTGGCTAATACAGCTCTCAACATCAAATGTGAAAGCCAGTCCTTCATGATGCCCTGGTCACCTGAGATGAATCCAATCTCATCTCCTACTGTACTCCAAAATCATCCTGTTTCTCAATGTCATAAGCTGCTCTGTAATAGAGTCATTCACATACATCTCCCCACCTGGAATGCCAAGGAATTGTGGGCTTTATGTCTTGGAGGAATAGAGAAGAGCATTTTGCATTTGAGAAATAAGCAACAAAGAGTGGGGGAATAAATGAACACAGAAATGAATAAGATCAGTGGATAAAAAGTCTATCATTACCAATGATCTGAGAAAGAAGGGTTGGTCTGTAAAAACGAACAAGAAAAACCACATTTCAAATGTGTAAAAAAGACACCATATGTTCTGCATTAAGAGCATAACACAATGGACTGAACCCCTTGGAGTTAATCTGTTAGAAATTGAGAAAGAAGGATCACATTAACAAAAACAGCCTCTACAGGTGGAGAAGACAGAGAAAACAGTCTGACCTTTGGAAGCGATGAGATATGAGAAGCTGCATGGGCCCTGTGCCTGAAGATTTCTGTTATACAGTGTGAACAACTTCTGTTGTTGCAGAAAAGGGGGCATTCCAGTTGGCTGTTAATTGTTAAAAATACTAATGTAGGGTTTTAGCTCTGACAGGTTAAGAGCCTGGAAGTCATTACTCCTGTCCTTACAACAAGAAAAAGCTGCACAATTGAAAAATTAACGAGTTTTCTTAGATCCGTCAGAGAACTAAAGTCACGGGGCAAACGACCACCCTCAAATCTGGAGAGAGAGGTGAATCCATAAAACTACAGCCATGTCTGCTTACTGCAGCAGAAACCCCTGGAGTAGGAACTGGTAGGAATGCTTAAACGCTAATTTTAATAGATTGTTGGAGGCTGAATGTGGACTAGCATGAGAGTGAGAAACTCTTGGGGGCCAGGGTTATAAAGTCACTCACACATTGGTGGGATTTACCACCAGGAACCTCATCAGGTTCTTAGGGTGAAGAGCCAATGAAGATCCCCTCTTGGCTCTGGCAGGCGTAGGGGAGGATGAATCAGCGTGAAATATGCCCAGAGCATATTTGTTCTCCATACCGCAGGCCTACTATTTAGAGAAAAATCCTTTACCAGAGCTTTGTGCCACGTGAGGGAAGAACATTTTTCCCAATGCAGCCCCTTTAAGCCTTCCTGTCTTATCTAAGGGAGATGGAAAGCTAAGAAACTCCTGTGAATGTCACAGCATTGGGACATAGAAAAAACTGAAAATCACAGAATTATAAATTGTTTCTCCTCCATGCCTTACCCCCACACCAAGTGTCCTACATAATACTAATGAATTACAGCTGAAACAGCGGCAAGATGCAAAACCTCTCTGAGAAGCCTCTCTTCTTAGGCTGCCCTAAGCCCAGTCAACAGTGGAGACAAAGACAGGGAACTAGAAGGAATTTGAAGCCTCTGGCACCAACAGCTATACCAAATGTTATACACAGCCCGATTCCTAGCCAAATTAGTATAAAATGTCACACTAGAGACCTGTTTACCTCAGTCCATATTATTTGTTACATAATTTTTAGCTTTGAACCACAAAAAACAAAAAAATTATAAGGAATGCTAAAAGGGAAGAAAAAACAGTCCCAAGAAACAAGCATCAGAAATAGATTGAAATATGACACAGATATTGAAGTTATTAGACAGGAAATGTTTTAAAACTATGATTAACATGTAATCTCAGCACTTTGGGAGGCTGAGATGGGTGGATCACTTGACTTCAGAGTTCAAGACCAGCCTGGGTTACATGCTCAAAACCCATCTCCACTAAAAATATAAAAACTTAGCCGGGCATAGTGGCATGCCCTGTGGTCCCAGCTACTTGTGAGGCTGAGAAGGGAGCATCACTTGAGCTCAGGTGGTGTAGGTTACAGTGAGCCAAGATCGCACCGCTGCACTCCAGCCTGGGCAACAGAGTGAAACCCTATCTCAAAAAAAAAAAAAAAGCCTAAAACTTTTCAAAATTAATGTCAGATACAAAACCATAGACGCAGGAAGTTAGGAGAACATTAAGCAAGATAAATACCAAAAGAAACAAAACAACTGAAAAACCCCCAACTTCTGGGCATATCATATTCCAACTGCAAAAAATCAAAGACAAAACCTCGGAAGAATCAGAGAGAAACAAGGATAAGAGTTGTAGCAGATTTTTAAATTAGAAGCCACACAAGAAAGACAGTGGAGTACGGTATTTAAAGTGTTGCAAGAATAACTACCAACTAGAATTCTATATTTAGGGAAATGACCCTTCAAAAGTAAAGGAGAAACAAAATCATTGTCAGAAAAACAAAAACAGAGGGAATCAATTGCCAGTGGCCTCGCCCTGCAAAAAATGTTTAGAGTTCTTCAGGGAGAAGGAAAATGATATAGATCAGAAACTCAGGTCTACACACAGAAAGGAAGGACCTTTAAAAAGGCATAAATGAAAGTAAAATATTTTGTCATTCTTTTTCCTTTTCTTTTTTTTTTTTTTTTGAGACAGAGTTTCGCTGTTGTCACCCAGACTGGAGTGCAGTGGTACAATCTCGACTCATTGCAACCTCTGCCTCCTGGGTTCAAGTGATTCTCCTGCTTCAGTCTCTTGAGTAGCTGGGATTACAGGTGTCCACCACCACGCCTGGCTAATTTTTGTATTTTTAGTAGAGATGGGGTTTCACCATATTGGCCAGGCTGGTCTCAAACTCTTGACCTCAGTTGATCTGCCCGCCTCGGCCTCCCAAAGTGCTGAGACTACAGGCATGAGCTACCATGCTCGACAATTTTTCTCATTCTTAATTGTTCTAAAAGACAACTGTTTAATAAAGTGGTAATGTGTTTGGTAATTATAACCTACTGATAAGTGAAATGAATGACAGCAATGTCATAAGGGCTGAGAGGGAAGAACTGGAAACATTCTGTTGTAAGGCACCACATGTGAAGTGGCATAGTGTTATATGAAGGTAGGTTCAGATACGTTTAAAATGTATATTGAAAACTGTAGAGTAACCATTAAACTTTAAAAAACAAGTAGAATTATTATGCTAAGAAAGAAAAAGGAAATGGAATCATATAAAATGCCCAAAGTGAGAGAAGGAAGGAAAAAAGTGGGAGGAAACTGGTGTAAGGCCACTCATGGCTTCAAACTTGGCCACTTACCTGCACCTAGCATTAATGACAGGGTCCGGGGCTCTCCAGGCCACTTAAGAAGGGACTTAGCCCTGGAAAGGTGACTCACGCATGTAATCTCAAGCACTTTGGGAGGTTGAGGCGGGCAGATTGCTGGAGCCCAGGAGTTCAAGACCAGGCTGGGCAACATGGCAAAATCCCTTCTCTACAAAAAATACAAAAATTAGCTGGGTGTTGTGGCACATGCCTGTAGTCTCAGCTACTTGGGAGACTGAGGTAGAAGGATCACTTGAGCCTGGGAGGTCGAGGCTGCAGCAAGCGCCATGGTCACACCAATACACTCCAGACTGGGTGACAGAGTGAGACCTTGTCTCAAAAAAAAAAAAAAAAGAAAAAAAAAGAATGGAATTCCTCCTCTAAGGCAGAAAGAATATATTTGGAATCTTTAAACATGTGCTCAATGATTTCACATTTCAAAGTTTTCCCTTTGAGGAAAACCACTAACTTTAGTCTTTTCCTAAGGTACTCTTAAGCTCCGCCTTTGTCAGAGAAGACAAGGGAAATAAATTTTACCCCATCTGTCTGTGTATGTACATATCATTCTGTCTGTCATCTAGCTGTCACAATCATATCTTCACTCATTCATCTAGTCAGCTTTCTTCTGTCTACCTTCTTCCCTTTCTATGAAATTGATGTTGATATTTGAAGGACAGTGATTGGATGAGTCTATTTCATTCACTTTCCCGTTGTCATGGACACAGGGTAATCCAGTAGTTATGCAAGGCTGTATGGGATTGGGGAGGTTAATTTGAACCTGAGAATATCTGTATATGTATGTTAGACTATGAGAACAGAACGGAAATAACATATTTAAATGTCAGGTTATTTTGAGATTTCTCAAGTTTTAATTAAACTTGCCTACAGGTTACACGTTTGGAGTGCTTGATGAGTTTTTAAACGGAAGAAATAGTCTGTCTGCCAGATGGATTTTGCCCAAACTCTTTCAGCAACGTTTAAAATAGCATCTTTTTTTTTTCATCTTGTCCACAAAATGCTTCTCCAGCATTCCAGCCATGGAAAGTTTCACTCATTAAATAGCCTAAATATTCCCAGCCCCACATAGAGTTTCCAAAAGAGCCCATGCTGGAGGACAAAGAGTTGAGGCTGCTATTGTGTCCCTAGGTAAAAATTGAGTGAGCAGAGCAATGGACCAGGAAACAAAGAAATGGTTCTAATCCTAAAGCCACCTCTATTTGCTGTGTCCTTAGACAATAACTCAAAGACTTTTTTGATTTTCACTCTAATCATGTAAGTATTTATTAATACTTACAGTGAAGTAGGGAAAAAGGAGAATTATTAAATCACGGTATGGTTTTGTGGAAAGAATACATGCTTTGGAACTAGATAGTCCTACCATCTATTGTGTTTCTGAACAAATTACTAATCTCTCCTGTAGGAAGCAAGGCCATATTTAGTACCTACTATAGGTATCTGATTATCTTTAAGAATAGTACTAGTGTGCCAAAGTTGGGTACTAGTGTGCCAAAGTTGGGTGAATGCACAAAAGCAGGTGTGAGAATGTCATGGAGAAATGGTGTACTCAGGGACTATGTAAGATAACTTGTATATGGAAAACTCAGTAAATGTGAGGAACAAGTATACACACACATACACACATACATTTTCACATACATACATAAATAGCATATATAACAGACATACATTTGTGTGTATGTGTATATATATATATATATATATTTTTTCAGACAGAGCTAGAATATTAAGATAGTCTCTGGTCAGTCATCCATTCCAAGCTTTGTCCAGAGCTGCCACATGTAGGATTACAAATTGTGTGTTACATACAAAATGTAATGTGA